TAAGGCCGTACAAGTGTAACGTTTGCGACAAGGCGTTCAAGCGTACCTCGGAGATGAACAGTCACATGCAGATTCACAGCGGTCTCAAGTACATGTGCGAGATCTGCGGTTTCACCACGATCAACAAGATCTCGCTGAGAACGCACAATCGACGGATGCATCAGCGCGATTTACGCTATCCCTGCGACCAATGTGGCAAAACCTTCATGTCCAACTACGATCTGGAGGACCATCGAGCCAGCCACTTGGGATCGAAGACGTTCGTTTGCGAGTACTGTGGGAACGCTTACGCGCAGCGATCGTACCTGGCGGCTCACAAACGCGTGATCCACTGTGTGCAGACTGGCGCACCGAAGGAGTTCCAGTGCAGCATCTGCAGCAAAAGTCTCGCCTCTGAGCACAGCCTCAGGAATCACGTGGTCCTGCACTCGCAAATGTTTCTATGTGCTCATTGCGGCAAGGAGTTCGCCACCAATCACGCTCTGAAGCTGCACAATCGAAAGCATACGGGCGAAAGGCCTTACCAGTGCAAAGTGTGTCCGAAAGCATTTACCAGATCGACTGCGCTCAGGGTGCACATGCTCACCCACACGGGGGAGAGACCGTACGTGTGCGATCTCTGCGGGCAGAGCTTCACCCAACGGAGCAGCATGATGGCTCATCGCCGCAAGCACCCAGGAAATCATCCACCGCCTCCTCCGTTTTTCCTTAGCAGGCTCGAGAGCGTCGAGCACAAGCTTTAACGTTTTAAGAACGTTACGAAACGAGAGAACTGTTTTAACGTATGATCGTTGCGGATACGAATGAACTCTGAGAGGATAATGTCCGGAAGTAGTGCTCACAGTGACGTGGAAGCAAAGGTGGACGCTGGAAAAACTAAATAGTATTTGCTTTCGCGTGTAACTTTGCAATGAAAACGATTATGTTACTCTTTATTCGGCCGTATTGCGCTTTTATGTTGTTTCGTTCGCCAACTCCAAGTGTAAATCGTATTTATAAAGAGTTCACCCCATCTACATTATTTCGTACTGTTAAGAACGATTTGTTTTTATTACGTGTCGCGTTAGTTTCATTTCGAAAAATGGTATTTTTATATTCTAATAATAGCTACTCTACGGATTATAATTCGGAGGTTTGAACGGGAAAAGACTTGCGCCGTGCCTTTAATAATATTTGCCCATTAAACTGCTTACTATTGAAAACGACTAAAATTGCTTGTTTATTGAATAAAATTCGATTAGTCCGATGAAGCATGTCTTTATTATCTGACGATAAGTTTTGGATCACAGTTTCTGGTTCTCCTTCACGATAAATAAAAATATTATCTAAGATAGTATGAAAAGAAACACTGTTTTAAATAAACGTGGAAGAAAAAAATATAGTTTTTAATTAGTATTAGACCACTTGGTGGAAACGTTGTCTCTGGACAATTAAAACGTGAAAAGAAATTGTACAGTAATCTTCCTAGGATTATTTTAAAGGTTGAACCTTCTACTTTACAACGTCTACTGTACAACTTAATATAAGATTCTTCCGCCATTTTATTTCATTGGGATACATATAAGATATACTCCTAATTTTGTAGATAGAGAAAAGGGTTTTTTTTTAATACTATCGTAGATTATATTTCCATTTATGATCGAGGAAGAGAGCTAAAATACTGCGGTCGAAAGCTTTGGAAATGAAGAAATATATCTTTTCACTGCCTGTTATTAATTCGTTCGTTATATTGCGCCGGGACGTAACGTTTAAGGAATTCAGAAAAAATTGTACATAAATTATGTAAAAGTGCAGCATCGTGAAATTTGTTTACCAATTTCAAAATGTATAAATTACAGCTTCGTTGCCGATAAACATTTGATTAGACAATATTATCATTTTAACCATTTACCACCGACAATAGACACACTCTTAACGTTGCGTGCTTCTCACGTAACTCGGGTACATAATTAAATGTACTTAAATGAACAGCTCCTGCAAAGCACAAGTGAATGTCGAAAGATCCGAAATAAGTGAAAATAGAGAGCCAAGGATACTCCAACCGTGTTTCGCGAATTATACATCCATTATATGAGAATATAAACGAATTCCCTTCGCCCGATTCGTGATAATGTCGGTTGTTCTAGAAGCTGTGACATTTATCGATGTAAGTAGCATTAACTTGTAAATTTACATTAAGTTCAAAAATGAAATTATTTCAGTGCGATCTTCGAGAAATCCATCGCTTGTACTGAATTCTTTGTTCCTTTAATTAAATCCTTTTCAGAAATTGTTCAATACTCGCTATATAATTTGCAATGCACTCCCGTTCAAGTCCCCTCCTATCGCGAACGCGCGACCAATCGCTTAAAAAAATCTACGATAACGCGCGAATAAACGAGATGTCGAATGGCATAAAAACGGTTCTGAGAACAATCATGTCCGACTATCAATTTTCGTTCTTTTATTTGAGTGTGTCGATCATTTACTGCGGCTGACTAAGTCAATGGATGTTTCAGGATGCCAACGAACGCAGAAACGCCTTCTACACAGAACCCACCGCAACCACTTTTTATAGAATGTAACGGAGCTCCTTTCTTGGACCAGGACGATATGCCGATAGAAATTAAGGCCCCTCCGCTTTCCGACGACAACGACGACAATAGCATGGAGTCCGATTTTGAAAGAAACTATGACGGTGTTGGCAATCAACGAATACTGAAAGAGCAAAGCGATAGCAGCAGTAATGATATTTTGTATCTAGGTCGGAAGAATTATTGTCCGTTGCCGAACAACGTTAAAGGCGGTGTATTGCCAAATAGAATCGCTACTTCGACGCCCTTGGTGCCTGTTGCGGCTCCAGTAGTAACGAATAACGCGGGCATATTCGTACCGGTCGAAGTTCAGAAAGAAACAGGATTAAACATTATCAAAAACGTTCTGATACCTATTCAGGGTGAGGATGGAACGGTGTCGTACGAACTGAAGAACATTGGTGTGCGTATCAACGCCGAGCCGACGAAACCAAAACCGCCAGTGAAACCAGTGCCATTCATGATCATCAATCCCATGTTACCTAAACCACCTGTGCAAGGAGAAGACGGAAAACTTCAGGAGACCGAAGCACGAAGGACGCAGAAGAAAATCGAGAGTATTGGAGTGGACGAAGAGGACTTGGTGAAAATGAGCAAAGAAGAATCGGAGAAAGATAAAGTGGATCTGTTGCTGGAAAGTCTGCGGAGCGTTTGTCCATCTTGCAACAGAAGGTTCTCCAACGATCGTCTGATGGGTAGGCATTTCGGTAAAATGCACAGGAACCATTACCGCTGCAAGAGGTGTCAGTATATTTACGAGTCCAAGGATATCCTCGAGGAACATTACAAGTTTCACGAGAAGAAGTCCTCCCTGTTGGAGTGCCCGACTTGTCACAAGAAGTACAAACACATGTGGGGATTGAAACGTCATCAGATTCGCGAGCACAGCACCATAGAACCGAAAGCGATATGCAACGAGGACGAGGATAGTTTGATGTCAAACGACGAGTCCCAGAACCAGAAGATGATTCGGTTGCGAGCGAAGACCTACGCCTGCCAGTACTGCGAGAACGCGTACTCGGAGAATTCGCATCTGGTGGCTCACAAACGCCTCACCCACGGCATACAGGTCAAAGGACCAAAGAATTTCAAGTGCAAGGTCTGCAAAAGGTACTTTCGCAGCGAGAGCAACCTACGCAGTCACACCAGATCGCACGAACGGAGCTTTTATTGTGACGTGTGCGGCGGGGAATTCATAAGCAAGCAGTCTATAAAGCTGCACATGCGAAAGCACACAGGCGAGAAGCCTTACAAGTGCAAAGTCTGCTCGAGAACTTACGCTCAAGTAAGCGTGCTGAGGGTCCACAAGCTCACCCACACAGGCGAGAGGCCTTACGTTTGTAACATTTGTGGGCAGAGGTTCACTCAACGTAGCAGCATGATGATTCATCATCGCAAACATCCTGGAAATCATCCACCGCCACCTCCCGTGTCTCTTACCAGTCTTGAAAGTAACGCAGATTAATATTGATGGTTGACGTGCGTTGTGAGAGTTTACTGTGCTACGAATGACTGACGTGGACTTCGAAAGGAACATTAAAGGAGGGTCGAAAGTGTTTACAGCGGAACTTGTGAAGAATCTTATTTTTATGTTCCCAGAATTGTTGTTAGTTGTTAATTATTGCAATACGCTTCGTTGGTCTTCGTTAGGCTTCTAAGTTTTATGGTGTCGTTAGTACAAGCGTACGTCATATTTATAAAAAAGTACATTTTTCATTGTTCACATATTTTTACATGATCAAAAATGATTATCTTTGATCCCTCTCGCGGAATGTTGTCTTTGTTTGCCCTTTTAACTTAGAATGTTGTTGCGTAGTGTTGATTCGTTCATATTGTTAACTTATTATTTGTTCAAGAATTGAAATAATGGTTCGACTACTTATTTATCTGACGTTGATATAAAGTGCTGGATCATTAATATGGTTAAACAAAGTCTCACCTTCACCACCGACAAAGACATTTTTGCCATTCCACGTTTTATATAAATCTAGAAATGTACAAAATACACGAAATAAAATAAAAAGTTACTAGAAACTGCAGTAAATATCAGAATATTTGTAACAATGACGCAGAATGGATGGAAAGTTATAGATAGATAGAATAGATAAAATCGTTGGGTCTTCTAGGTGCTGTAACATTAAGCCTTGTAAATAGCACTAATTGTAAATTTATGATGGGTTGAAAATGAAATTGCTTCCTCGGCATTAACCTTTTTGTTCCTTTGATTAAATCCCATTGAAAATTACACTATTTCCTTCTCTCTTAAGCATACATAATTAACTAAAATATACAATAATGCACAAATAAATGAGATGTCGAATATCATGAAATCCTGTCCGAGAGTGATTATACCGATAATCAATTCTTTTATTTTATATAAGTATATAAAGTCTTTACTGGGGCTGACTAAGTCAATGGATGTTTCAGGATGTCAACGATCGCAGAAACGTCTACCACACAGAACCCACCACAACCACTTTTTATAGAACGCATCGGATCTTTTATGGGCCTGGACGAAATGAAAATTCAAATTAAGACCCCTCCAGATTCTACTGACGACGATGACAGTAGCGTGGAGTGTGATTTTGAATGCAGCAGTGTTCTTATCGAATACCAACCAAGGGAAAATATAAGCAACATTGACAATTCGTGCCTGGGTGAAAGGAATCATTGTTCCACGTCAAACATAGTTAATGATGTTGATGAACCTGTGCTGACTCCAATGGTGCCTGGCATGGATGCAAGAGGAAACATGTTTGACTCGATTGAAATTATGGACAAAATACAATTGAACACCGACGGTGGTGTGCCGACTACGGAACAGTACGAAAATGGATCCGAAGTATCGTTTAATCCTGATATACAACAACGGGACGGAAACAAGAAAAGACTACCGTGGCAACTTAGAACAGTTAGACGAATTTTACCTAAACCAACACTCTATAACGGTAGCGAAAGGGTGGGAGTGGACGAAAAACAGTCGAAAAAGGAGGTACCCAAACGAGCAAACAGTAAGAAAGGAAAAGTTACACGCACTCGACGAAAGAAACAGAAGGGAATTCCCGGTACTAACGTACAGGAAATATTGTCGACAAAAGGCAGACCAATTTTACCTAAACCAGTGATATCTAACAAACAAAAAATCACAATAATCGAAGACATTAATCTGCAGAAAACGCAAGAGGTAGTTGACGTAAAACAGTTGATGAAAGGAACAGCAATTTTATCTAAACCAACAGTATGTGATAGTAGCGAAGTCGAACAGTTTAATGTGCAGAAGACAAAGGAGACAATTGAAAGTTTGGGATTGAACAAACAACAGTTGAAGGAGATATCAATTGTACCTATACAAAGAAACAGTAATGACGGAAGAATGACGAGACTACCTCAGTTTAATGTACATATATATAACACAGGAGAAATCGCGACAGTCGAAGAGTCTGAAATGCAGAAAACGCAGAAGGTAGTTGAAGGTGTAGGCGTAGATGGAAAACAGTTGATGAAAGGGACAGCTATTTTACCTAAACCAAGAGTATGTTATAGTAACGAAGTCGAACAGATTGATGTGCAGAAGACACAGAAGGGATTTGAAAGTTTTGGATTGAACAAACAACAGTTGAAGGAGATATCAATTGTACCTATACAAAGAAACAGTAATGACGGAAAAATGACGAGACTACCTCAGTTTCATGTACAGATATCTAACAAAGGAGAAATCGCAATAGTCGAAGAGTCTGATCTGCAAAAAATGCAGGAGATAGTTGAAGATGTAGGTGTAAACGGACAACGGAGAGTAACAGCAATTTTACCTAAACCAACAGTATCTAATAGTAGCGACATCGGACAGTTTAATGTGCAGAAGACGCAGGAGGGAATTGAAAGCGTGGGATTGAACAAACAACAGTTGAAGGAGATATCAATAGTATCTATACAAACAAACAACAAGAAAGGAAAACTTACAAAACGTCAACTATTTAAGGGGCAGAAGAAACAGGAGGGAATTCCCAGTATTAACGGAAACGAAATATTGTTGACAAAAGGCAGACCAATTTTACCTAAACCAGTGATATCTAACATAGAAAAGATCAAAATAATCGAAGACATTAATCTGCAAAAAATGCAGGAGATAGTTGAAGATGTAAGTGTAAACGGACAACGGAAAGTAACAGCAATTTTACCTAAACCAACAGTATCTAATAGTAGCGAAATCGAACAGTTTGATGTGCAGAAGACGCAGGAGGGAATTGAATGTGTGGGATTGAACAAACAACAGTTGAAAGATATATCAATAGTAACTATACAAACAAACAGCAAGAAAAGAAAACTTACAAAACGTCAACTATTTAAGGTACAGAAGAAACAGGAGGGAATTCCCAGTATTAACGGAAACGAAATATTGTTGACAAAAGGCAGACCAATTTTACCTAAACCAGTGATATCTAACATAGAAAAGATCAAAATAATCGAAGACATTAATCTGCAGAAAACGCAGGAGGTAGTTGAAGGTGTAGGTGTAAACGGAAAACAGTTGATGAAAGGAACAGCTATTTTACCTAAACCAACAGTATCTAATAGTAGCGAAATCGAACAGTTTGATGTGCAGAAGACAAAGGAGAAAATTGAAGGTGTGAGAGTGGACAAACAACAGTTGAGTAAGGAGGTATCAATTGTACCTATACGAAGAAGCGGTAGGTGCAGACAACGTAAAAGATATGGATCATTTAATGTACAGAAGAAACAGCGGGGAATTCCCAGTATTAACGGAAACGAAATATTGTTGACAAAAGGCAGACCAATTTTACCTAAACCAGTGATATCTAACATAGAAAAGATCAAAATAATCGAAGACATTAATCTGCAGAAAACGCAGGAGGTAGTTGAAGGTGTAGGTGTAAACGGAAAACAGTTGATGAAAGGAACAGCTATTTTACCTAAACCAACAGTATCTAATAGTAGCGAAATCGAACAGTTTGATGTGCAGAAGACAAAGGAGAAAATTGAAGGTGTGAGAGTGGACAAACAACAGTTGAGTAAGGAGGTATCAATTGTACCTATACGAAGAAGCGGTAGGTGCAGACAACGTAAAAGATATGGATCATTTAATGTACAGAAGAAACAGCGGGGAATTCCCAGTATTAACGAAAACGAAATATTGTTGTCAAAAGGCAGACCAATTTTACCTAAACCAGTGATATCTAACATAGAAAAGATCAAAATAATCGAAGACATTAATCTGCAGAAAACGCAGGAGGTAGTTGAAGGTATAGGTGTAAACGGAAAACAGTTGATGAAAGGAACAGCAATGGTACCTAAACCAACAGTATCTAATAGTAGCGAAATCGAACAGTTTAATGTGCAGAAGACGCAGGAGGGAATTGAAGGTGTGAGAGTGGACAAACAACAGTTGAGTAAGGATATATCAAATGTAGGTATACGAAAAATCAATAGGCGCAGACAACGTAGAAGATATGTACCATTTAATGTACAGAAGAAACAGGAGGCAATTCCCAGTATTAACGGAAACGAAATATTGTTGACAGAAGGCAGACCAATTTTACCGAAACCAGTGATATCTAACAAAGAAAAAATCAAAATAATCGAAGACATTAATCTGCAGAAAACGCAAGAGGTAGTTGAAGGTGTAGGTGTAAACGGAAAACAGTTGATGAAAAGAACAGAAATTTTACCTAAACCAACAGTATCTAATAGTAGCGAAATCGAACAGTTTAATATGCAGAAGACACAGGAGGAAATTGAAAGTTTTGGATTGAACAAACAACAGTTGAAGGAGATATCAATTGTACCTATACAAAGAAACAGTAATGACGGAAAAATGACGAGACTACCTCAGTTTCATGTACAGATATCTGACAAAGGAGAAATCGCAATAGTCGAAGAGTCTGAACTGCAAAAAATGCAGGAGATAGTTGAAGATGTAGGTGTAAACGGACAACGGAAAGGAACAGCAATTTTACCTAAACCAACAGTATCTAATAGTAGCGAAATCGAACAGCTCAATGTGCAGAAGACGCAAGAGGGAATTGAAAGTGTGGGATTGAACAAACAACAGTTGAAGGCGATGCCAATAGTATCTATACAAGCAAACAGCAAGAAAGGAAAACTTACAAAACGTCAACTATTTAAGGTACAGGAGAAACAGGAGGAAATTCCCATTATCAACGTAGGCAGACCAATTTTACCTAAACCAGTGATATCTGACAAAGAAAAAATCACAATAGAGTCTGATCTGCAGAAAATGCAGGAGATAGGTAAAGGTGTAGGTGTAAAGCGAAAAAAGTTTACGAGACGAAAACTGCTTGTCCCTGAACCAACGATAAATCAGAGTAGTAAAATCATTGTGGTTCAAGATGTTGATCCACATATTAAAAGTCTCATGGATTTGAGTGTGATACCAATTTTACCTAAACCAATATGTGAACCGGCGTCAAAGAAGATGAGAATGACGTATAACAAAACAGTCTCTTGTCCGTGTTGTGATAGAAGTTATATTAAAGAGATGTCGTTGGACTGGCATTTTCGCAAATGGCACAAGAGCCATTACCTTTGCAAGAAATGTCACTATATTTATGAATCCCAAGACGCCCTCGACGAACATTTCCAGGTTCACGCAGTGCCAGGCATGATGCAGTGTTCTATCTGTCATAGAAGATACAAACAAATGCGGTGGTTCGAAGAACACAAAATTCGCTACCACACCCCCGAGGAATTGGAAACGATATACATAAGCGAGAGCATTACACTGTGTGCTTGTATAAGCAAATTTCCAAGGCCCGGCCGATCGCTCATTTGGGAATTGACCTGCAAACGCTGCAACAATGCTTTCCCGCAGCATTCTTCCCTGGTGGCTCTCGAACGTTTCAGTCACAATGCAGAGGGATCGAAAAACTTGCAGTGTAAAACGTGTAAAAAATGTTTTCTTCGTGTGGACGACCTACGCATTCATGCTAAGTTGCACACACGTAGCTTCGTTTGCAACATATGTGGCGAGGAATTTAGTGAGAAATTTATTCTGGCGTTACACGTTCAAAAACATATCAATTAAAAGCGATATCAGTGCAAAATCTGTCACGTTTTATCCAATTGAGTGTACTTAGAACACACGAGTTCACCCACCCTGGAAGAAGGTTTCGCGCGTGTAATATGTGTGGTCAGTGTAGGCACCTGGGAAATTACCCACCACCACCTTCGGTGTTCCTTGGCAGTCTTGAGAGTGTTGGGGGTTAGTATAGCAGCTCATCAGCATCAGGTACATGTTGAGATTAAGGAGTGAAATTAGACTCATGAATATTGATTATAATCATTAAATTGAATTTTATTTTCTTACTGAAATTTGATTCGCTTTTAAGAACGATTGTTTTATATTATTATCCCAAGCAAAAATCGTATCTCCTTCGTTTTTATAATTCTTCATTGTCAAGTATAATTATTATGAATTTAAAATTGCGTTTTTACATCGTGTGTTTGTTCGTTCATTAAATTAGCAATATTGCTGTTTATTATTTAGTTCTTGAGTTCGTTTACGTAGTTTAGTTTTTATTAATTAAATTTTTGCCGTTTCAACTATTCATGAGCTGTATAATCAGAGGAATTTATTTATCGAGACGAATAGAAATTAAGTACCGCATCATTAATGATAAACACTTATTTATACACGCTCACTTTTATCGTCTACGAAGATATACTCTTAGCCATAACACATGTTACGTAATATTTGAAGATGTACAAAACACAGTGAAATGAAATAAATTGTTATTAAGTCTAGTAAATGCAAGGCTCTGATCGAGTCTTTCGGTAGGCTTGCTGAGTCAACGGATGTTTCAATTTTAAAAGCCTACGATGATATTGATAACGTTGTATGAACCTTGTACTAACTCTATCGATTCCTGTTAAAAATAAGTTAGCATTGAAGATTGTGACAGGCTTCTGAAACCAAAACAGTATGAAGACAACATACTAGAAAATGAAGAAGAGCCACCCAGGATAGTTGGATCGATTTTACTTAAACCAAAATAATCGAGAATTTAAAAATCATAATACCTCAAGAGAAGAAGCAGTTTCATGACCATGACAAGTTATTTTATACATTTAAGTGTATTTAAAAGAGACAGACTCACATAGACAGGGGAGAAACCTTATGGCTAATTATGGTCGCAGTTTTACTCAGCAAAGTAGAAGAATCATCATTAAATGCATTTTGATACGACAGCGAATTAAAAATAAATCGTGCCATTTAATATGATTTTACATTTGTGTTTTCGTTTACTGTATCGTTTGAAATATTAATAATTTTTTGTGACGGAACAAATATTGTACAAATGATACTAAGAACAGAAATAAAAGTCAAGTTATGTGTCAAAACTTTTTGATAATTGGACGAAAGTATCGTATTGTGTCCATCCTGTGTTTGGTATCAGTTTTCGATACCAATACTTTTATAATTAAAAAACAGTACCGTATAATGTCATTAGGCATATGTTCTTTTCTTCTTTACGTATTTATTACAAAAGCGTTGGTATTGAAAGTTAATATCACTTGCCTGAAAATCGTTCAACAAATCTTACTAAACACTTCAGTCAGTATCGAATGATGTGTCATCGACACTTTCCCATCAATAAGGATTGCAGACCGTTATAACATTACGTCTGACTGGACTTCATTGCACCACCAAGTTTAATCGTCATGTGAGTACTCCAAACACATATCGTACTTTTCAAACACCTAATCTTCACCGTTATACATTTCCACATTGTCATGTACGACTATTTTGTTCAATAGTGCGTCACTATTAATAAATATTTAATTCCATAAGTTCCATTCTTGCTACTGTCGTAGGTCCGCTTAGTTGCTACATATTGTAAGTAAAATATACATGTACAAAACGTAATGAAATTAAATGAACAACCATCATGAAATATAGTAAATGTCATACACCATTGTATTTCTCTTGATTACAGCTACAACGCCACAGCGATAAAAATATGTAATCGTGTCGAAGAAAAATGTTGATCTCTGAAATCTCGAGAAATTTCTTTGCTTGTCATAATATTTGCCTTTCCAAACAATGTGACTTACTTTATATATTAGACGTTTACAGAAATAAAGGCAAATTCGACAAACGCATGCTTTCGTTGAATTCATCCTTACTCTTTCGAACGTCTCACATGTATAACGAGTCCTTGAAATCAGTGACATATTATATTGCATAGTTTATACGTCGATTTGAATGGGTGTCAGAAACAGCTGTTTAGTAAAGACGTTACATTTACCGCCGAAAAAGATATGCTCTTAGCCGTTAAACATTTTAAGTTAAACTTAAAGATGTGCAGACCACAATGAAATGAAAAAAAAAAAAACATTTACTATAAAATACAATAAATATCAGACACTTATTGAGTCTCTGCATGGGCTGATAGAGTCAATGGATGTTTCAGGATGCCAACGATTGCAGAAACCACTACACTGAGCCCAGCACAACCACTTTTTATTGTATGTAATGGACCTTTTGTTGGCCTGAACGAAATACCAGTTCAAATTAAGGACCCTCCAGTCTCCGACGACGAGGATACACGTAGCGCGTCGTGTGATTTTGAAGCTCAACGTTACAATGTTGACGCACAAAAGCCAAAAGAAGAAGAGACGGTTAGCGGCATTAATAACTCGTACCCGGTTGGAACGGATTATTCTTCGTTGACCGAGGTTAAAGAGATCAAAGAAGAGCCTTGTATAAACATAGTGCAATCGCCTTTGGCGCCTGATCCAGATCCAGATCCAGATCCAGTAGCCACGGAATGCACGAGCATGTTTCCTCCAGTTGACGTTAAGGACGAGACGGAAGCGAACATCTCTAATCTGGTACCGGGACAGGCTGGAGATTCAGCGATATCCTACAGCATCGGGAACGTCGGGGTGCAAACCAATCCCGAAATAATATACACAAAGAAACAGGTAGAGAAACCAACGCCAACGAAGAAAATGAGACCCATTCTACCCAAACCAATAATAGGCGTGAATGGGGAAATCATAACGCTCGATATGTCCGACCTGACAGTGTCGGAGGTGAGACACGATCCCACGGACGGAGAACAGAAAAGGGACGGGTCGAAAAAGAAGTCGTTCAATTATCAAACAATAACGGTAATAGACACTACCGGTGGTAAAGAGGAAAGGCTATTCGGAAGACGTCGGTGTGTCTGTCCGTACTGTCACAACACGTACTCCTCCAAGAACGTGATGGACAAGCATTTTCGCAAATATCACAAAGACCATTATCGTTGCAAGAAGTGCCAATATATTTACGAGTCGCAGGATCTTCTCGACGAACATTACGTCCTTCACGAAGAGAATCCCACGCCGTTCAAGTGCGGTTCCTGTAGCAAGAAGTACAAGCACGAATGGGGATTGAAGCAACACCAAATTCGCGCTCACAGCACCATCGAGCCGAAAGCAATATGCAACGAGGGCGACGAGGATTTGATGTGCAATTACGAGTGCGAGAGCAAGGTGAATCGGTTTCAGATGAAGACGTACGCCTGCCAGCATTGCGATAACGCGTATCCGCTGTTCTCGTTCCTGGTGGCTCACGAGCGCATCACCCACGGTATACAGGACAGACGACCGAAGGAGTTCCAGTGCAATGTGTGCAAAAGCTTCTTTATTAGCGAAGACAGTCTCCAGCGTCACGCGAAATTGCACGAGCGAAGCTACACCTGCGACGACTGCGGCAGAGTGTTCCGAGGGAAACACCTTCTGAAGCTGCACATTCGCAACCATACCGGGGAAAAACCGTACAAGTGCAAGATCTGCAAGAAGCGCTATACGCAATCAAGTGTTCTTAAAATGCACATACTCACTCACACAGGGAAGAGGCCTTACGTGTGTAATGTTTGTGGTCGTAGCTTTACTCAGCGGAGTAGCATGATGATCCATCATCGCAAGCATCCTGGAAATCATCCACCGCCGCCGCCAGTGTTCCTTGGAACTCTCGATAACTATGGAGACTAAGTTTAACGATCGTTCAGCATCAGGTACATTTTGACCGAATAACGAAGTGAAAATATTTTGCCACGACCGATGTAAGCCGGAGGGTATATGGGTGAAAGAGGAGGTTCGCGAAAAGTGCTTACAGTTTTATACAGGATACAAGATAAATATTGATCATTTTAATATCATTGTATTTTAATATTTCCTTTTATCGTGCTGCATGAAGTAGTGATAATTGTTAGTGACGAAACTGCAATCGTGTAAATATTGCCGATACCGGATAGGGAGGTCTGGTTATAAATCAAGCGTATTTGAAAATTGGACGTATCGAGACGAAACTATTTACGACACTGATTCTTCTGCAATGAATGCTGACGAACGCCAATGCCGTATAATGCAAGTAGGCATCAACATTTTTATAAATGCATGACAATATAGAAACAAAGTCACAGAGATTGAAAACAACTGTTGGAAATAGATTCAACTACAAGTAATTACTTCGAACTTTTAGCCATTATGTTTTGTAATTATTTGAAGTTGCATCTGTCGAGTGGATGTTCCTCCCTATTTTTTGATACCTCTGGCGTATTATGGATCTCTGCTCGGTATCATGCGGTGTTGTTACCGATCAAGAATTGATTACAGAAGCATTGCTCTCGAAAATTAATTTCACATATTTTATTATATTATGCCTGACTGTACTTCATTGTGCCTTTAATTTTGACACGAGCACACATGAGTACTCCAAACAGTAATCGTATGTATGAAACGTTTAATCTTCAATGTGTTCAGATTTCTTCATCGTCGAGTATGCCTATTTTTTATTCGATTCATAAATAGTTGCATTGATTTCTGAATGCTGACATGTTATAATTTGATAAATGTTTTTCCATGAAATTTACAAATAATTGACGTTTAAACTTACGATGCGAAGTGTGTATTATTAATTTTTGTATTACGTTTTCTTAGTTTTTTTCATTTATATATTAGGAACAGTATTATGTATGTATAAGTGATGCTTAAAAAGGTGGCGTTTCAACTATTTATAAACAACAGCGTTGTAGAACTTGCGTGTCGAGCTGAGTAGGTGTTAAATAGTGCGTCGTTGTTAATAAAGATTTGATTCCACGTAGTGTCTTCTTTATCACTGTCAAAGATATTATAAGTAAGATATAGAAACGTTACAGAACATAGCAAAAAACAAATTAATTGGTATTATAAAATATAGTACATGTCAGATTCTTCTAAAATCTCCGCCCGAGTTGATTGAGTCAATGGATGTTTCAGGATCCCAACGATCGCAGTAACACCTACTACACTGAACGCAGCACAACATTCTATAATATGTAACGGACCTTTTTTGGGCATCGATGAAATGCCAATTCGAATTAAGGACCCTCCACCTTCCGACAATGAGGATAACAGTAGTGCACAGTGCGATTTCGAAAGCAATTATGATTATCTCGATATGAAACCAAAACTCGAACAGGAAGACGGAATTAATGATTTTGTTGAAACAAATTGTTGTTCGTTGCCAAACATATCCAAGGATAGTTGCATGTCAAGTGGATTTAATAATAATTCACTTGAGACGGAAGTTAAGCAGATTAAAGAAGAACCTTATGTGGACACAGCTGAGGTAAATGATGGCCTGAGATCAAATATAGTCGTATTTGCGTCAGTTGGTATTAGAAACAAGACAGTGTATACCTGTGTTCGGATACCAGATCTGAATCCATCGATGTCTGCTGACTTTGAGAACGCTGAGGACCAGTTTTATACCGGATTGATGCAACCCCCAAAAATGGAAGACAACGTTCTACCAAGACTTCAAGAGTCAGTATCAATGACGGATACGTGTGGAAGCGAGGTACAGTCGGTATATGAACATCTGCCAACCGTCTGTCCATACTGTCACAACACTTACTCTTCCAAGAACGGGATGCAAAAGCATTTTCGCAAATACCATCAGAATCATTATCGCTGCAACGACTGTCAGTACATTTACGAAACCCAGGATCTGCTCGATGAACATTCCAGGAGTCATAAAAAGCCCCCGTTTCAATGTACTTCTTGCAACAAGAAGTACAAACACACGTGGGGATTGAAGCAGCATCAGATTCGTGCGCACAGCACCATCGAACCGGAAGCGGTAGGCAAGAAGGACAACGAGGATGTGAAATGCAATTACGAGTGCCAGAATAAGGACAACGAAATGAAAACCTTCCACTGCGAGCACTGCGACAACGCATACGTGCGTTACTCTCACCTGGTGGCTCACGAACGCATCACTCACGGGTTACAGTCGAATCGA